TCCGGCCACCGCGCCGGGTCTGCGCCGACCGCTGCGGTTCCGGGATTCAAATGCCGCGCCGCTCGCGACCCATTGGGCGGCCGCCCGCCCGGCGCGCGCTCCTCATTGGCCGCTCGGAAGCCCTCCGCACGCTGATTGGCTGGGCGCGCTGAGACCTGGTTGGCTGTCGGGACAACCAGTTGGAGCGGGGGTTCCTCTCTTACCCGGAGGTAAACAAAAAGGAGCCGTGGCATTGGGAGCGGCTTCTCCGAATTCTGGCCCGAGCTTGCGGTCCCGGGGCCTCCCAGCGCGCTGCGATGGCGGGCGCGCTGCACCGCCCCGAGCCCGCTTCCGGAGAGGGCGCTGCGGCGCAGGCTGGGCTGGCCGGGGCACCGGGCGGGCGCCGCTGCGTGGCCCGAGCGCAGCTTGGGTGGGGACGCGAACGTGAGAGCGAAGCCGGCGTGGGGCCTCGCCCAGCCTCTCCCTCGGGGACAGCCCTGGGGGCGCCCAGTGCCCCTCAGCAGGGCCTGGCCTGCGCTGCGGGCGGGAGGGGACTCCCTGCGTGCTGGGGGGCCCTGGAGCCTGGCGTATGTTGGGTGGAATGTTTTTTGAAGCTCCAGTTAAGATCTTTAAACAATAAGGAGTTCTCCACCCCAAAAAAAGTCGGGCTTGGTGGCACTTGCCTATTAATCCCAGCACTCGGAAGGCTGAGGCGGGAGGATGGCCGCGAGTTCGAGGCCAGCCTGGGCTGCAGAGTGAGTTCAATTGCAGTGAACTGCAGAATGAAACCCTATCTCAAAAAGACTAAATAAATAAATAAATAAATAAATAAATAAATAAATAAGTAAGTAAGTAAAAGTGTGTGTGGCAAGAACTAAGATTCCCAAGAGAGGAGAAAGAACGTGTGCGTGATTGCCGACTGGCGTTAAGCTCTCCGTCTCACACTGTATACTGCACGTCCGGGCTAACTACTCGTGGAATAAGAAGACGCGTTTAAGACTTTAAAACGAGAGACGCGGCGTGACCAAATCTTGAGCAGAGCGGCGGAGAATGGAATCTAACGTGCACAGTACTAAGGGTGCCCCGGAAAAGAAGGGGAAGACGGAGACGGGAGAGGAGGGTTGGGGGTTTAGCGCAGTGGGAGAAGGCACACGCAGGGCCCTAGCTTCACCGCCCGCAGAAACAAACGGAAAGAAAAAGGAAGGCCTGGTGCGGGGCCAGCACCGCCGCGCCGCGCCCACTGGGGTTCCCGCAGGCTGTGCTCGACTTCAACGGCTGCAATGAAATGCCCCCATCGTGAAGACTGGAGGGCACCAGGGATTTCCAGTCTGCTGGGAGGCAGAGAAGCTTCCCCTGCCCCATGGCCTGGGGGCCCTTTGTTTTCTTCAGGCCTTCAACTAACGGATGAGGCCCACCCACATGGGAAGGCAAATCTCTTTTTCCTGTTTTGTTTTCGTGGTTTTGGTACCGTGACTCGAACTCATGACCTCACGCTTGCCAAGAAGGTGCTGTGCCGCTGAGCTATATCCCCCACCCTGTTTTGTTTAAGTCTTGCTATGTGTTCAGGCTGACCTAAAACTTGCCACAACCTTCCTGCCTCAGCCTCCCCCGATCTGGCAATACAGGTGTTCACCACCATGCCTGACTGTGGTTTCTGAACGAGGTCTTGCAATGTTGTCCAGCCCAAAATTCAAACTCCTACTCAAGCTATCCACCTGCCTCTGCCTCACAGCGAGGTGGGATTACAGGTGCCCGCCACTGCAGCTGGGTGATTTCGATTTGAATCTCACCTAGGAACACCAGCACCACCAAGCGCCTGGTAGCCTGTGACCCGGTCAAGTGAGCCCACGAAACTACACGTCGCAGTGATCATCCACCAAGAACACTGCAGACAGAATTTCTAATTACAGAGACGTGAGCATCAAAGGACCAGAAAACTAGTTCCACCCCATCGGGGTTTTTCTCCCCCAAACACCAGCCAGAGCAAGTTCCTTCCCTGGTGACCCCTCTGACAGTTACTGAAACACAGATGGTCTGTGGCTCGTGAGAAGCTGCGGGGAGTGGGCCGGGACACGCTGGGAAGCCTGCACGAAGCATTCTGCCAAAGCGACGGGGCTTGGTTCCCCGCCCCACGCCGGGGAGAGGGGGAGAGGGCCTGACCGCAGCCTCGGAGGAGCGCCTGACACCAGTGCGAGGAGCCATGCGGCCGGCCCTGTCCATAACGGGTGTAAGCCGCCCAGTTTCGTGGGGCTCGTGACCGAGCGTAAGAGAGACTTGCCGCGCACTCCCAGTTCCCGCCCCGGGGAAGTCTTGTTACGCTCTTGGTTTCTCACAGGTCTCGGCTGTAACAACACGGCACCTCAGCTGGGATTGTGAATCATTTCTGAATTCTGAGTTCTCGGTAACGCTGCCCTGAGAGAGTTGGGGGGCAGGAGAACTGAGCCTGTCTGCCACATCCTTTGGGCGCCTCCTGAGGGCACAAGAAAGCACCCTGAGCGGATGTGGGGCCGTGACTCCGAGGAACTGGCAAACTGGCCGCCCTGAAGCCAGTCCTGGAGGGCGTCTGGGGCAGGTCTTCAGAGGGCACGCAAGGCAGTGTTCCAGGCTCGCACGGCCCCTGGCTGCCGTCAGGGCGGGCTGCGGTGACCCTCCCTCCGACGCAAGCGATGCAGGCGGACAGAAGACAGCACGGCTGCCTCGGGCCGAGGCGCTCCCCTCGGCTCACTCTGAGAAGCAGCTCCCCCGTCGAGAGGACACACGCGGCCCAGGACGGCCCAAGAGGCAGCGAGGTGAGGATGCGCGCCATCCCGGCAGCAGACCGCCCAAGCCTGCGGGCAGCTGCCACCACACCCACGTCCAGACTCTGAGAACGCTTGGCTCAGCTCTGCCCGCAGCCTGAACCCACAGAAAGTGCGAGGTGCCCCTCAGGTCACTGAGTGGTGAGTCACAAAGCAACAGGTCATGGCCTCAGAGGCTCGGGAACGTGGAACTCGGGAAGCGTGTGGCCATGACCTCGAACTGGGCACACTGGAGCTCACTCTGAGCGAACACTAATGGTGCGGGAGTCTACAGCAGCAGACGGATAGAAAGCCTCCCTCACTCCTGCCCAAAGGCCGCTTGGGAAGCCATGTGTAGATTTACTAGGTCTCTTCCACGTCCCTCGTCAAACATCCTTCCCACGCAAAGGCGCTCATGAATCTAACACATGCGATGAAGGGCCACCCGAGACGCTGGGCTGGAATGCCCGGGTTTCCAGTTACACTTCCAACTTGCAGAAGCCAAATTCTAACTTTCTAGACAGTGTGTAGCACGGTACTGATGCCAATCTGTAATTTGCCCAGGATCCCACCCCATATATTAAAAATGACCTTAGGCAAAACTGGTTCAGCAGATCCCACAATAAATAGTACTGAGTAAGGCCAATCCGTTTCTGTAGTGATGGTGGAGGATTCGGACCAGCAACTGGCTACACAAAGGCTCCTTCAGGAGACCCACAGCTCCCTTGCGCAGCCGCGTTACCAGGGCACAGGCCAGGACAGGCGCAGCTACAGCACGCCGACAGCTCACGGGGCGTGTTCACTCACCCCTAACAGCGCCTGGACAAGAGTGCGGTGGGGAGAAAAGAAGAGAATGTGTAGGAAACATTTGGGATCTGTTACCTCTGTAGGAAAAGAACACTGCCAACCTCAGGCTGAAGAGAACTGTTTCCACTTGTGTAGCAAAATGTGAGCAGCACGTCTGTGGCAACACCAGCCTATGGCTCGGCACCTCGGAGCACTATCACCTCCCCTCAAAGGCAGCAGAACCTGGGGGCGGGCGAGCAACAGCAGCCCAGGAAGAACTCGAGCTTCTGCATCCTGTGTGAGGTCAGGAGCTCATTTACCACTAACAGCAACACTAAAAGGTGCGTTTCATTTCTATTTCATCGATGAAAATCCAGCTCAGAAAGGTTAAACTGTTTAAAAGTGGCCAGGTGTGGTGGCACACCTGTCATCCCAGCACTCAGGAAGCTGAAGCAGGAGGATCACCAAGAGTTTGAGGCCACCTTGGGCTACATAGTATCAAAGGCCAGCCTGAACTACATAGGAAGACCTTATATCAAAAAAAAAGAAGAAAAAAGCAAATGAAAAATACCCAAATAGCCGGGCGTGGTGGCACATGCCTATAATCCTAGCAGTTAGGAGGCTGAGGCAGGAGGATCGCTGCGAGTTTGAGACCAGCCTGGGCTACAAAGTGAGCTCACAGCCAGCATGAACTGCATAGTGACACCCTGTCTAAAAAAGGCAAAAAAAAAAAAAAAAAGAAAGAAAAGTACCCAAATAAACACATTTTTATTAAAAAGTTGTTCAGGGGCTGGGGATATAGCACTACATAGCAAGGCCCTGTCTCAAAGAAAAAAAAGGTTTGCAAAACTTTTGCTGAAATGCACATTTTGACATAAGGTGCAGTAGGAGATGGAATACAACAAAACAAGGCACACAAGGTGACACTATCCAGAAGCACTTTCTTCCTTACCTGGGTGATTCTAATCGCACTTTCCCTGTGATTGGCAGCAGCAGCGTAACAGGTTCCTACACTAGCCACTCACACTTATGCCACGAACACTCGCTTTAAATAAAATTTGAAGTACCTAGAGGCTTCACCCTCAGTGGAAAGTCACTATCGAGCATAGTCAGTCAAAAGGGCCGTGCGTCCACGTCCCGTGCAACGCTGAAAAGCGCAGGAATTGCCCTGTGTCTGGGGGACACTCAGAGGCCCCCGGCAGATTTCTCCTCAGACTGCTGATACCTCGGTCCCCTGGCGCGCACCACGTTTCCCAAGGGCAGTCCTACATCCACACAGGCTGTTTAAAGGAAGACATGCGTAATTCTCCTCCTACAGTTCCCCAACCCTCTACAACTGAAGCTGAACCATCAAGCATACCGTTTTCTTCTCTCGTGCAGTGTCGGGAGAATTGAACCCAGCGTTTCGCTTCATGCATGGTGGGCAAGTACTCTCCCAGTGAGCTATGTACCCCCAGCACTTGGAAAATTTTATTTCGCAAAAGGGTCTTGCTAAATTACCCAAAGTGGCCGCAAACTTGAGATCCTCCTGTTTCAGCCTCCCAAGCAGTTGGGCTTACAGGCAGGTGCCACCACTCTAGCTCAAGTGCACTTTTTAAAATGTGACTTTATACCATTTCTTAATCCATCCCATAATTCATCCTAGATCTGCACATATAGTACGTTAAAGCATGTTGATATAGACGATTACTACAGTGTAACAATTACTAATATAAAAAAGGTGGGGGCTGGGGATTTAGCTCAGTGGCACAGCGCCTGCCTGGCAAGCGCAAGGTTATGAGTTTGATTCCCGATACCGGAAAAAAAAACAAAAAAAACAAAAAAAGGCATAACTGACCGAATACAAACACTACATTTTGCAAATATCAGTTTCAGTGAGATCTGTTTTTTAATTCCAAGACATTTAATGTAAATTATTTTATAAAAACTAATTATGAAACACAAAGACAATAGAAATATAAGTTATTTATTAATCAATCCACTTACAAAGCAGGTGGCTTAATGCAAGCTATTGACATCTCCACACCTGATCCATGGGAACATGTCTTCCACACACAGACAGTGACATTACTGACTGGATGCATGTGAACTCTGGAGCACAGGAAGCATATTTAAACCAATACAATTAGGCTATCCTGGATATGGGAGTATCTTGATAGTACACATCCTGAAGTGGATTAAAACTTTCTCCAAAGGAGAAATGTTAGTATGTTAACTTAACTTTATACTCTATATTATGCAGTATATCTTAACTATAGAAATTAAAAATTTTAAATCAGTGATCGACTCTTGGTAATGTATGAAGTGGGGTCTATAACCATAGCAACAGTAGTTGACAGTATGATTTGTACCTCACAGTATCTGCAGATTTATTGTTTTCAAGTTTAGAGAGAAATAAAACAAGAGACATGTAGATTCAGCTGATTTTATTCATCTTTAAACTAATAAAAATCCCTTAAAAGTAATCCTGGGACCTTCAGACGCTCTACGAAATGCACAGATACCTGCTAACAACTGAAATTCTAGATCTTGGCTGAATGGATTTACAAAATTAATATAAGCAGATATCTTCACTATTCGTGCTTAGCAGAAGACCAAACAAAATTCTACATGTCTTTTTCAATTTCCCTAAAATTTTGTTAAATCTGCAAGTATGTACAATTCAGCTAATTGAAATTAATATTTAGTGTTCATCAAAGCTGTTTCACAGCAGCAAAAACTGAATCAGGGAAATAAAGTTCTAAATGATGTAGAAAAAGATAAATACAATCAGAACAGCAGTCTAAATTCATGGTATCAATATCCAACTCTATCTGCGCTGTGCTGGAAGGAAATGGTACACCAAGAAGAGTTATGCTATCACTCTGGTGATGTGCGTACCACCTGCATCCAACTCAACAGGGGCTGTATTCTGCTCCCAGTACTAAGGGTGGCAGCGGACTCGGAATTCCGTATTGTAAATATACAGCAGCCATTTGTCCTAAGTTAAGGAATGTCTTACACAATATTATCATTTTCTAGAGGATCTTTATACATTAAACTAAAGTACATGATTGATTAAATTAAAAGGTTAGTAATGGATAAAAAAATGCGTAATTCTCAAGGCTTGGTACTATGTAAAAAACAAAAAGACCACAAAATTCTACTTACTAAAGCAGCTAATCTTGCCTGCAAGTTTAGGGTCACAAGCCCGTAATATGTGCAAAGAAATGCAATACAAGGAACCATGCAAAAATACAGTAAAATGATACAGGAAAAATGTCAAATCTAGGAAAAAAAAAAAAAAAAGCTTTCATAAATACATCAAAATCAACCGTATACATAAACTGTAGGTCTAGCATTAGTTGTACCATATAGCAGAGCCAGCACTCTTAGTTCAATGCTTCCAAATCTGCGCAGGTAGGTCATGCCATCTTTGGTTGACTGCAGTACCAGGATGAACGGGCTGAGAGGGAGGGCAAGAGTTCGGAAACACGGTGTCAACTCTCGCTGGGCAGCTGGGCCTCAATGTCCACTCTGCATATGGGGCACTTCTTGTTGGTGATCAGCCACTGGTCCACACACACTTGGTGGAAAAGGTGCATACACGGAAGGCGCCTGTCACCACCAAGAGAAGAAGCACAAGTAACCTTAGCACAAGCGCGCGTCACGTTTCTTAAGCAAATTGTACATGCAGTAACTCAGCGGTGTTGTGAAGTCACCAAAACACAACGCTATGCAAAACAATGAAAGAACACTCCGATGAGAGCGATACATATGCTAAGCTAGCACTCTGGGCAACGTGACGTCCAGGTAACCAAGGTAACCATCACAGCCATGAAGACAACTGTTTATAATTGAGAGTTTATACTTCTGTATAACACAAAGAGCTATAGTGGCAATTATTCCAGTTTTTTCTCTAACACTTTAAAAATAAGGTGGCAGCTAAAAAGAAGGGTTCCAATTACTCTATTAATAGCATTATTAACACTATAAAAGCACTTTATATTTATAAAACTTCACTGGAAATACAGTGTTCATAAAACCTTATTCTGTGAGATGGCAGACATTTTACTATCTTTTCTCTATTAGCCGGCTGACCACATATGACAAAGGTATCCTTAGTAATTATGGCAACGATATTACTACATAGCTTTGTTATATATTTCATAGAACTGTATCATATGGCTTTATATCACATAAAAAGAAACAACTTAAGAGATTATACAAAGAAAATGCCTACAAATAATAAATACTAGATTAGCATAATAACATTTTCTAGATCACAAAAACTTGCCCCTTTCTACCTCTCTCTGAGACAGTGCTTTACTAAGCTACCCAAGCTGCGCTTGACTTTGCAACCCTCTTGGCTCAGCCTCCTGGACTATGAGACTACAGGAGGGCCCCCCCCCAATTTTATCTCTTTATGGAGAATATTACTATTAATATCTCTCCAAAGCCTTCAAAATTCTCATTTCTACAAGGTTTACAAAAGATCGTTCAGATTACAGAATTTCCCTGGCCAACTGCCGGTACGACCCTGAAGCAGGTAATGTACCTGCCCCTCCCTCCACCTTTGCTGTTAATACAGACTCTGCCCTTCACTCCTTCACTCACTGCGCAAAGCCAGCCAAAGGCTGTTAAAGAGGGCAGGCCAGCGCGTCGTCGCTCTCTGCGAGCAGGCGGTACTCGGTTCCCAGCTGACTTTCACACAGAGTTCCGGACAGTGTGAGAACGAGCGCGGTGGACAGTGTCTACTCACCTCACATCCTCGCCTTCTTCCAGAACAGACAAGCAAATGGTGCACTTCTCCTCGGTGTCCTCCTCAGTCGCTTCTTCCCCATCTTGCTTGCAGTGCAGCTTCCTCTGTGAGAACCAATCAGTTGTTACCTTATTAGCAGAGATGACATTGAACAACTGAGTAAAGTCTGCATTTAATTAAAAACAAAACACAACAAACAAAGCAAAACCACACATTCACATGCAATGCATTTCTCAGGTAAAACTCAAACGTGATGAAATAACGAGTTACATGAAGTAATTATCAAGTATTCAATTACATATTCAGCATCAAATATGTCTAACATTCAGCACTAGTCTAACATCAGTTACTTTTAATCTAAATGAGAATTATACACCACATAAACTCTACTTCAATCCTATCCTGAACATAACTAACATTTTATTTTACTAATGAAGATTAATACTCTTAGAAAACAAACACTACAAAGAACAGCAGTTTTACACTTGATTATTCTTCTTAGTAGAGTAAAAGTAGTGTTTGTTCTTCGTTGTGAGAAGCTTATTTAACAGGATACTCTGTAATTTCCAGATATAATGCTACAGAAAAGGCATATGTATACAGATCAGCACAATGCCCATCAAAGTAAACAGCCGGCTACTTAAAGAACTACGGGGCTGGTTGTGGTGGCGCACGCCTGTAATCCCAGCACTTGGGAGGCTGAGACAGGAGGATCATTGCGAGTTCGAGACCAGCCTGCACTACAGAGTGAGCTCAAGGCCAGGCTGAACTGCATAGCCAGACCCTGTCGCAAAAAAAGTCAAAAACACATACATAAATAAAAGCACTATGGTACTGGCACATGATGGCGTTCATATAGTCCGCACAGGCGATCTACCTGCAAGTGCTGATAAAGAACCAAACAGTAATGTGCACCACTGTGTACATCATCCCCTTTTGTGTTTTTCCAAGTGAAAAAGAGAGTACATATACAAATATGTATACTATAAAATAAAAAATGTCTAGGGGACTGGGGATTTAGCTCAGCAGCACAGCGCCTGCCTGGCAAGTGCAAGGTTGTGAGTTCGATTCCCAGTACTGGAAAAAAAAACAAAAAAATAAAAATAAAACAATAAAAATGTCTAGAACAATACGAAAGAAATCATTATGCTTTTACTTCTAGGAAGGAAAACTAGGGTATATGGGGTAACAAGTTTCCTAATACGCATTTTTATAGTTTACAACATTTTTCAGCATATACTTGTACTGCTTTAATAAAAATAATGTCATTGCTGGACTTCATATTCAAAACCTATGACATTACATCTTAGGTATCTCAATAGCTTTCCAGAAATCTTGAGAATAAGCTCTTACCTTTTTGTACTTATGTGGGTAGGTGCATCTTTCAATCGTCCCCTGGGATGCTCCACGATTGACATTTCCTAATCTTTCCTCCAAATGAATCAGTTCCTGAAAGTAAAAAGCTAGTATTAAAAGCCAGTTTTTTTGCAGGGGGTTGGATATGATCAAAATAATATATACGCTGGGCATGGTGGCACATGCCTGTAATCCCAGCCCTCGGGAGGCTGAGGCAGGAAGATTGTTGCAAGTTCAAGACCAGCCTGGGCTACAAAATGAGCTCAAGGCCAGCCTGAACTGCACAGCAAGACCCTATCTCAAAAGGACAAACTAATAGTAATAATAATAATAATAATAATAATACATGCATGTGTGAAAATGACACACAGTATTATGTAAAATTAATATGCACTAAAAATATATAAAGCCACTATTTTGTATACCAATCATCCCTTGAATAGTACTGTCAATCTTTTCAAAGCAAAAACATCTATATTTATATACCTATAATTATATTTTGTGCCAGGCATGATGCATATGTCTGTAATCCTAGGACTTAGGAGGCTGAGGCAAGAGGATTGCTGCAAGTTTGAGGCCAGCCTGGGCTACAAAGTGAGTTCAAGGCAACCTGAGCTAGATAGCAAGACGGAGACCCTCTCTCGAAAAAAAAGTATTTATACATGAGAAGAGAAGGGGCTGTTTATAAAATTTTTCTTATAATATGGGATCTCATAAGGAAAATGGGTTATAAGTGTTTCCAGAGGACTGAGGTGGTTCCGCAGTCACCCTAAGAAACTAGGACAACTGTGCCACACAGCACTGACTCCCTGCGTCCCGAGGGTAGATGACATGACCCCAGCGAACAACAGTCCTACACCACAGCAGTTCCTACTGTCACAGAACTTTAAATAGTACACACATGGTGTATTCTTCCTGCAAACTCAAACAAGAGGATATTTAGTCACAAAGTGAATTACTTAGGGTTACGCGTATTTCTGAGATGTTTCTCTAAATAGTAAGCTTGGCCAGAAATCCTGGGTTTTCTCCCTACATTTAATGTATTAATACATTTAATACAGTTCTTCATCTGATACTTACACTGACTTGGTAATTTCTATGTATTCTTTTGTATTAGATATTTTCATCAACTCTTTTTTAAGTACTTGGGTAACTTTTGACTCTAAATGAATCCTATTTATAAATCTTTTTGTAAACCCCAGAAGCAGTGTTAGAAATGCAGACATTTTACTGCTTTCTGCTTCCAAGCCCCTGCAGAACTGTGACCGCCCACGGTGTGTGCTATGTACCTGCCCTGCAGGAAAGACATCGCAGCAAGCACCTTCGTTTACCTCATACATACCTCGAAATTGCCTCTGAAGGGCCCTCGGAAGGACGCCCCATCCAGGCCTGAGGAGATGTACCGGATGTGCGGATAGCCCGCCATGTCTGGGACCTGTGTGAATGCAGGGAGGAGTCGTCAGTTAGAAGCGGACTCGGGCTTTACAGTTAATACTGAGTGAATTCAAGACACTAAACGCTCTGCATGCGGACGTAACATTCAACCTCAGTGAAGACACGTAACTCCAACTAACCCTTCTAGAATGTAGGTTCCTCTTAAAATCCCTTTTCCTCACACATGCTAAGCAAGCACTCTGCCACCGAACTACACCCCCGTCCTTTATCACTTTGAGTGAGCGTCTTGCTAAGCTGCCTAAGCTGGCCTCAAATACGGCATTCTCCTGTCTCAGCTCCCCAACAATCTGGGGGATTACATTTGGCACTTGTAAAATAACTTAGAGCAGTGACTCTCTTGCCTCAGCCTCCCAACCCCACACCTCCTGGGTGGGATCACGGTGCATGCCCCCATACCCATCTTAACCGTGTTTTCTAACTTTCTGTGAGGTAGAGTCAATCTTTTCACTATTAGTGAACTGGCTGCGGGCTGAAAACCCCACACGCTGTCACAGTCCGCCAGGGACGTACGCAGTGGGGCACAAGTGTGTAGGTGCCCAGGCCCTGCCTTCCCAGCTCAGCCGGCTCACGCCCGGAGCCTCCTCTGCGGTGTACGTAACAGTCTGTTTTTGGGTGTGTGCTTCCAGCGAGGGACCCCACTGCGCAGAACAGCCAGGCCGCTCAGCACAGCGCTCTGTGCCATGTTCCTAAGCCGGGCCGGCTGTCGTCCTGTTGTGGCTACAGCACGCAAGGGGGCAGCTCTGTTCAGGGCTGAGCCACACCGCTGCTGGCTATCAGCTCAACGTCAGCAAATCAACACCACATTCCACATGAGCGGTGCTTGAACAAAAACTCACAAGACAAGGTGACACACAGGGCAGCCTCTGCGACCAGAGCGTCAGTACTCTGTCCCTATCTCTCTGGCATAGGAATGGCTCCACATTTGCTGCCTCAGTGTTCCCAGTGACTGGGCCGAAAGTTACTGCAGAGCTGACTGTATCTGGAATGAGATATTATGCGGAGCACTGGCCGAGTGTGGTGGTGCACGCCTGTAATCCCAGCACCTGGGACGCTGAGGCAGTAGGATCACTGCAATTTCAAGGCCAGCCTAGGCTACACAGTGAGACCCTGCCTCAAAAATACAAACATAAAAACAGAAAGAGAGAAAGTGGACGAGAATTCTAGCTTTACAAATAAATCTCCAACATTACTTTCTGTTGTTTTTGCTGTTGTTTGGTAAGACGGGACCTCACTATGCAGTTAAGGCTTGTCTTGAACTCACAAGGTAGCCCAAGCTGGCCTTGGGCTCACAGCAGTCCTCCTGCCTCAGTCTCATGGGCGCTAGGAGGCATGTGCCACCACTCCTCTACTACATTACCCGAACTTGGTTTCTCAACTTCTGAGCCGGTTCTCAGAACCACCTGAGGTGCAGTGTTTCCCTGCTGTCACTCTGCTCATCTTCAGTACTGTGAGCACTGCACTAGCGTTCCACATGCACCTCCTTGTCATTTACACACTCCCTCAGCAGCTAACCCTCTTTATCTGACTCCTCACTGCCATATACAGCACTGCAAGACCGCAGGCGTATACCTCTAACCCAGGCACCTCTGGAGGCCCAGATCATAAACTTCCTACTGAACAGTAAACCTAATAAAGTGTCTCTGGTTCACCATGTCCAAATCCAAGCTAACCATTTTTCCAAAGCATCTAATATTCGCCAGTATCCCAAGCGGTATTACTGTACTGCTTTAACCCAAGTGAAAAATGAGGGGCTGGGGATTTAGCTCAGCGGCAAAGCGCCTGCCTGGCAAGCGCAAGGTCGTGAGTTCGGTTCCCGGTACCAGAGAAAAACCAAA